CAAATCCACTCTGTAAACATGTCTGACCAACAAGACAACATTGTAAAATCCAAATTAAGATTGATTCTTTTTGTAGAAGGAAGGAGACGCTGTTAAGGTCAACAATATGCGGTATGACACAGAAATAAACAAATTCAAAATTCGAAAAAAATATTACAAACACTACACTACACTACACTACACTACACTACACTACACTACACTACACTACTACACTACTACTACTACACTACTTTGTGACTCGCATGGTCGCAGTTTTCGATGGTGGGCAGGTTTTTAAAATAAATCTGGCAACAGTACAAGTATGTACGCTAAAATTTTGCCACCGCGTTGAAACATTGATCACCTGAAATGTACGATTAGATTAGCGTTTATCATTATTTCCAGCCACAGGATTTTCACCCAGAACGATAACTAACAAGCCGGTCTAAATTAGCTGGTACCAGAGATGAAACAAATCGGGTTTTGGAGGTATATGAATGCATACTATAGCAAATTCACTATGACCGCTAAATTAGCAAAACCAATCCTGTTAAATGTCTTTTAAAATGCTTTATAACTTTAAGTCCTTAATAATACGCTTTGGTCGCATATGTTATTCAGGCTTGAACATTGGTTGCGGTGTCTGTTTGCCTAATGACATTTGCCTTTTACAAGAAAACAAACGGACAGTGCATGGACAAGGTACCTCAACCCCCGGTCCCCGATTTCGGATGGGCGGCATACTAGTCTTTCCGGATCTTTTATTTACCATAACAATGGAATTGAAAACACAAAACACCATGGTACGCTGTCGTAGATCACGTTTTTATATTGTATTGATCGATCGATAAACTGACCGTTGGCATTCCATCATTGTCACCCTGCGGTCATCGGGTACCACATCTCCGATGCGTCATTCTGATGAATGGGGCCCATTTCTGAGTTTCCACTGGTAAATGTCTTTTTCACACAGAGCGACAGACTGTCCAAAAAAAAATTGAGCTACTTGATTGACTTAGTGTCGTCCAATTTTGGATTGCGCCGGCTTTTCGTCTCGTTCACCCGCGCACACTGATGACAATTTGAGATGGATGCTCACAAACAGGAAGAGTGCTGATGCTAATCGGCGGGCAGGAAATCATTTTGCAATTTTTTCCGTTTACCCTCCTGCGGGGTTCGCTCACATATCCTTCATCAGTATTTCCAGACACATTTTTCGCCGTTCCTAGGAATAATCAACGAACAGCGAACATTTTAATCACCATTTTAATGACTAAAAGGGATTGGAATAGATTGGAATCTTCGCATAGTTTACTTCAGTTGTAAACAATGTTTCTTGGTGCTTGTATCCATTATCAAACTTTATTTCACTAAGACTCATTAACACGTTGAGCTCCTTGATTCGCTTGGTTTCTATATGTGCTCGCTTCAGCAATTCCGTAGTTTGCCTATCGCACATTTGTTATTCTGCACATAATATTCTGTCTTACCTGCAAATAAGGTTCAAAAATATACCTTTGTATGCACTGGCCTACTATTTTCTTGTTCGGTTAAGATGAGGCAGTTCAATTTGAAAACTGATGCCTGGGATTATTTATCATTTGTGATAACGGTACAAAATGGTTATGAGCCCCGGGTTTGGCAAATTCTTTGCAGCTGAAAAATATCATTGTGATTTCATCAGTCTGAATAGGAACAGGTACTCTTTGAGTTAACGTATCAGCTGCTATTGTTTTCACATAATTCTTGAAGTTCCACATCGACTGCGTGGGAACCGGAATAGATCTGTCACGTAACACCATTATCTGAAAACAGTAATTTATATAGCCTATATTAAATTTGTGTAAAAGCGAATCAAGTTGAGTCAATTGGCGCCGACGTAACAATTGACACACGGAGAAAACGATTTGTACCAAAAGCACACAAACGCAAGATAAATGTATTCAAAAAAGTCAAACACGGTTAAGTGTAAATGAAATCCAATTTTTAATTGATAGTTCATGCGTAACATAAAGTACTATAAGTGCACGCACTGGAACATTCAATTTATTGGTGGATGAGAACATAAAACAGAGAGAGATTTTTTAACACCAGAAGTGCCAAATGGTTCCTAACACTTGACTAGCGCCTCCGGTGACCTCCAAAGTTGGAATTCTCCTCGGTTAGTATTATGTGCATTCCAATCTGATTTGCTTTTACTGGGTAAAAAACATTTGCAGCCCCCAAAGTGCATTAACTATAGTATAATTCCAACGGTCAGTTTAACCTTATTGAAGCATGATAGATTTAATCNTTAATCGCTCGTGTTGTCCTCGGTAACTTCAACTGATCTATACATCCCATACGCTGGAATACACCAGTAGATTGCATGATGGTTGCCAATTAGCAAACACGCTCGTTAAGAACACTGAAAAGAGCTTGATTAACAATGTCATATCCATCAACACCGATGTTGGTGAACACCGACGCTATCGTAGAGCAAAGAATTTGTTGAATGAATAAGCTACTCAATCGTTCTTCAGGAAGTCGTAATGCATCGTTCGAACGATGCACATCAAGTGGCTCTAACATTTTGGTGACCTTTCATCAATGACCTCTCCAATATTGTCATAGCCTAGAAACCACAGTGACCGGTGTTTTAGTTGTAGTTTTTCGTACCCCAATCACTATTCGGAACGTTCTGATGTTATATGCCGTTCTCAATGGGGTTTTCTGAATAATCCTCTCCGTTTGTTCTGAATCATCTTACATTTTTATTTCAGACACTTGCACGAGAACATTCTGCCTTACAATAGCCAACTATAAAATTAAAATAATTCATGGTCAATTCCTTATAGAAAAAATGTGGTTTAAAGAAAATGTAGTGAATGCTATGCTGAAATAATACAGTTAGCTATGTGCATCTTGACGACTGACTAAGATACAACCCTAAAAGCCGTTTGGTTGCCCTCAACCTAGGTTTTGAGTATCTCACGAAACTGGGTGTTCATAATTCATGCCCATCAGTTGATGGAATCGCGTATTGTTACATTTTGATTACATCTTGGTACAATGGCTCCACAGTCCGATATACAGTAGAGACTTCAAGGAAAATCGCAGCAACGCAGAACAGCACTGAAACGTTCAGCGTGGTTTGCTGTACTTGTCATGGAATATTCGCATTAGGTGTGTTGCCGACAGTTAGAAAGGTCAACCGTGTTTTGGACTGCAAAGTCCGTGAACCGTAGGGATCAGTGGTATCAATTTTAAACACACTATTATTTTACTAATCCAAAGTATCGAACATTATTGTGGGTCAACAGTACAACGGTGATTTCGTTGTGGTTGTGATCAAATAATGGTGAATAAGCACGCTTTATGCACTCCAACCACTAGAGGGCTCACTTGATTTTACCCAAATCATGTATTTCACATTCGCTTAAACATCACGTAATGCACAAATTACAGCTGTATCTATTTGCCGCAATGAAGCTTCGATGGAGCAATCAATCCACATTCAAGGTCCTGCTCATCGTCATTAAACCTCTTGGGTTTTACCATTCCTTCTTTATTNTTCTTTATTATGGTGTTACTACCCACAATATTATCCATAGCTAAGGGATGGCATGTTTGTAGTCTCAGTTTAACTTTACGACTGATACAAAAGAGGAAATAGTTTGATGCATCAGGGAAAAGGGAAGGAGCTTCCACTGTTGCCAAATGTGACTAATCCTAAACTGTGTCGGATTCCCGTGTGACTATTCTTGGGTGGTAAGGATATTGTATCGTTTATTGTTTCCATACTTGACTAGAGAGTACAAACTGAGAAAATGAATGACAAGGTCTCCGGGAGATCTATTTCCGATCGCCGTGAAACAGACTTGACTATGATCTAGCACAATTAGTTAAAACTTGCAGTAAGTATCGGAACATATCACGTAGGGAAACAGCTATTCTCTTGATAGAGCAATCATTACCATTTAGACGAGAAAATGTGTGACAAACCGAGGATAGTTTTATTGAAGAAAAGCAGGTCCACAGCACTAGGTTCGTTTTTCTTCGAATACAAACGAACGAGCTGAGGAATCGTACACCTTACCAAGTGCGTCTAGATGAAAAGAACATTGGACCGCATTCAAATAAGTAACATTTATCATCGGGTTAAGTAGAGTTAGAAAAATTCCTAAATCTGATGATGTGGACGTGTCAATTTGTTGTAAAGGTTGACTAACCAGGTTTGCTTGAAAGGGGGCAGTTAAACTCAGTTCGCTCTGGTCATCAGCCTGTTCACGATTTTTGAAACACCAAAATACCACCGAAACCAGCTTCAAGTACTGTATCCATATACACATTCAAATTCCCAGGGAAATAAAATGAACGGTGCTTTTGAGGACACCAATCGTATTTCCGCACTGTATCGTTTCTGCTTCTCTGTCCCTATCGTTTAATCTATCACATAATTCGTGTGCAACATCTGCCATGTTCTCTGGTCTTATTTCAAACCGGGAATTTATTTTTTCCGTTCTACCATGTCCATAAACAGAAGTCGTTACTGGGAAGGGGTGCTTTCAAAGCCCGCCAAGTTCAATTTGACATATCCTCATTCCTGTTATCTGCTACACTGCTACTCTATCCACCCCGTTTAATGCCGCCGGAGGGAAAAGCTAAATGAACTGTTTTACCGCCACCTCCGATTGTAAAAAACAAATTAGTGAAACCGGTTCTTTTTATTTACTATATGTTTGCCACTTTTAAAAATATATTCTGGGATCAATAACTGATGACAAAGTTGAAAAACTATCTAGGATCACGTTTAAATTAGGCGATCAAAATGAAGCCGTTTTATTAACAATCGAATATAGCGAAGCAAAACTAAAATATACCTTGATTTTTCCACGAACGTAGTCGGATGGAGCACAATTTAAACATTACGCTGGCAATCACTTTCTTACAAAATCAGAGTGTACCGTTTTTGACCATATCGTTGAGTTTCAGTGTGATGGTAACCGATTGTTTCCAATCTTTCATTCCCATCTCAGCTGGTACAACACAAAGTTTTGGAATTACGCCTGCAAACGCCCGACCAGTATCAACTCCATCTTTACTGAAGACCTCAGACAGCATGAATTCAAGCGCAAGTGCTGCAAGTATTGGCTATCTACGACTAACCTACACCGATCACGTGCGTAACACGTATCAAGAAGAATTTGTCCTCGGCGTGCAAACAGTTCGACCTACGTTGAGCGTGGATGGGAAAACCCCGGCCAGGAAATCCGATGAAATTGAAACTTTACTTTACGTAACAAATACTGCACAGACCGGTGACTTTCTGCACTTATATCTGGTGAGACTGTGGGTTCGGTTTGATTCTAATGGATTACTTGATGTATTCTGTGTTCATTTGCCAAATCTATCCTGTGTCAACATTGATCAAGGAGGTGAAGTTGAGCATACATTTATGAAAGAATTTGTGCACATCTGGTATCAGACACTTTCTGACTTGTACCTATCAGTGCACAAGAATCTAAGAATGTCGTACTCAGTTGCAATAAGGAGGTAACATAGGTATAGGCAGATACATGGATCAAAGATAGGTAGATGGAAAGGACAAAGAGATGAACAAATAGCTAGCTAGCTAGCTAGATAGACAGATAGATAGATAGATAGATAGATAGATAGATAGATAGATAGATAGATAGACCGACAGATAGCTTCATAGGTAGGCATGATCGGATTGGCAGACACCCAGATAGGATTGTTCATGCATTGGTTGTTTTTTAACGTAAGCCAATTAGACACTTCAGTGCAGTACCACTTCTTTAGTAAAAGAAGAACGCCGATGGTTTAGAATTGTAATAAGAAATCTTTGGATTCGTATCAGATAATAATGATGATGATTGTTGTTACACATAGTGTTATGTTTCATCCACACTTTATTGATTTATTAGATAGGCTGAACTGCACAATCGATATTATGACAACACATTTTTTTCTCGATGAAGGATGTTCCACTTACCTTAAAGCTATATTATTTCGAACAGGTTTGCAGACCAACTGTAATTTCCGAAAGTCTTCGTTCATCATCGATTGAATCTATCGGTGAACGAAAAGGCATGTTAATATGAAACTTTGAAAATCATCCCGCTCAGGACCATTTATCCACTCATCTAGAAACTGAAGTTAATTGGTTGTCTAAGTATAGACCCATTTAAGCTTCATTTCACACACACAATTAACGAACAATCGTA